TCAGATCCCTGGGTTTTCCCTTAGCCACTATTTCCACGAGGTAACGGGGACCCTCGGTCATTTCAAAACCACCTGGATTTCAGTGGAGGAAATATCAGGCACAAGAGTGCACTTGCCAACTCAACACTTCAGAAGCACCTGCCTGAAGAACTGCTAGTGCAAATCCACCTTCATCATGTACCAATCCTACCTACAGCACAACCAACAGGGCTTCCCCCATCATTCCCGTAGTGCTCTGAAACCCTGAGGAACGTGCTGTTGAGAAAGCTAATTTGAAGAAGCACATGCTGCTTTCCACACTTGGTAGCAAGGGAGGTCACCTTCTAGAGAAAAAGGGGAAAACCTGCCTGTGGAGCAGCCCTTCTGTCCCTTGCACATACCTGTTGTCTCAGCCCCAAAACTGTATTTTCACTAGAGGCTGAGACAGTTGCTCTCTGCAACTGGGCAATTGTGAACTCCTGCTCCCTAGCCTGATGTTAACTGCTACAAAAGCAAGTGACTGGGAACCTTTCAATAGGTGGCAGCAGAAATGTGTTACCAAGCCAGAGGATTCTTTAGGGACACCCTTCATGACAAAACCACCCATTTAGAATCACAGAATCAACTAGGTTGGAAAAGACTTTTAAGATCATCAAGCCCAACCTTTATTCCAGCACTGCAAAAGCCACCACTAAACCATGTCACTAAGGGCCTCTTCTACACGGTTTTTGAATACTTCCAGGGATTGCGATACCACCACTGCCCTGGGAAGCCTGTTCCAATGCCTGAGCACCCTTTTGGTGAAGAAATTGTTCCTAATGTCCAGTCTAATCTTTGTTCCTTGGGAGTAGAGACCAGCTACCTCCTGGCTCCATCCTTCTGTGAGGCAGCTGTGGAGAGCAATAAGGTCCTCCCTGAGCCTTCTCCAGAATAAACTCCCCCAGATGCCTCAACCGTTCCTCATCACACTTGTGCTCCAGGCCCTTCACCAGCTCCGTTGCCCTTCGCTGATCCCATTCTAGCACCTCAATATCTCACTTGTAGTGAAGGGTCCAGAACTGGGCAGTTTTCAGTAGTACATTGCTTCACAACAGATAGTGCATCCTAACCAGACTTTCGTCAGGAGTCAGGTCAAACACTTAGGATATGGGGAGGGGAAACTCACCCAGATTGTGAAAATCCCCACGTTTTGGTTTGGTGGAAGTGGCCCTCACAAAACTGACTCTTGCAAAATGTGTTAAGTTCCCTAATTTGGTGCTTTGGGTTGCACGGTCCTGCAGAGCCAGAACTGCTCACCAGAATACCTCCCAGCAACATGACTTCTGCACAATCATACCACACCTTATGTCTCTCAGTCCCAGCCAAACAAGGCCATTTAAAAAGAAAAATTACTTCCATAAACTTGAAGGACTCAACAAATCAGCAACAAAGAGATGATCACAAAATGGTTTGGGTTTGAAGGGACCTTACAGCTCATCTAGTCTAACCCCCTGCCATGGGCAGGGACACCTTCCACTAGAGCAGCTTGCTCCAAGCCCCTGTGTCCAACCTGGCCTTGAACGCTGCCAGGGATGGGGCAGCCACAGCTTTTCTGGGCACCCTGTGCCAGCGCCTCAGCACCCTCACAGTGAAGTGCTTCTGTCTAAGAGCGCATCTCAATTTCCCCTGGGTCAAGTTAAAGCCACTCCCCTTGGCCTGTCCCTACAGGCCCTTGTCCAAAGCCCCTCTCCAGGTTTCACGGAGAATGTGATGTGAACTCCCAGCTAAGCAGCATCCTCCCCTAGCTCAGACTCCCTTGGCTGCCTCGCAGGCAGGATGCAGCCATGTCCCTGCTAGGAATACACTTCCAGCCCAGTGAGCAGGGTGACCCCAGCGGCAGGGCCAGCAGGAAGCCCTAACAGCCTGCACATACCTGGAGCAAGGTGTGGCTGTGTAAAGCTGACTCAGGGCTGGGTCAGGTCTCCTGCACGCAGGAGCACGCTTTCCAAATAATCGTTTCCTGTTCTCCCCAGGCTAGATGGAGCAGATGGGGCAGGACGGAGATATACTGGGCACAGATAATCCCCCTCCCCAGAGCTGCTCGGCATAAAGGACAGCAAGGACCAAGTGCATGGGCCTGGGTGACTAAGGCGAGGACAGCGGCACTGGTTCTGTGACTAACTATTACTCATGCAAGGAGGAATTTGGAGAGGGCCTCGCATCCAGCTCAGCTCATTGCTTTGAATACTTCTGCAGCTATAAGCACAAAGGAGAGCTTTGACAATGAATCAGACCCTGGTTTAAAATGACAAAGACAGACTTATCTACCAACTTTGTGTTAAAATGATTTGTGTAATTATAAAAGCAGCTTAATGCTAATCAGAGGAAACAAGCAACGTTTTCAAACCCAGATGACTAAATGTAGGCTCCTGGACGGACAAAACCATTTAAACACAGCAGCAGAAGTGGGTTTTTATTTATTGTCATGATGTATTTCACTTTCCCCTGGAATCCAAAGGAATGTGAGCACACTGGCAAAGTTTGTCTTAAAAGCTTTCTCCATTAAATTCTTTTCTAACTCCTTTTTAATCAGAACAACCTCTCCCCAAAAATAAATCCTAAAGTGAGTTTCTGGGATAACATTTATTTTGAAAGCACCTCTATAACTGGCTTCTGAAGGATTTAAAAGGAAGCAATCAACACCCATGTTAATTATCCTCCTGCTTTTAAAATCCACAATTATCCATCTAAAAATAAAGGTAGGAACAGTGAAAATAAAACAGTAATCAAATTCCAGCTTTCCCTTCATGAAGCCTTTGCCCTCTCAGTTAGTTCGTGTGCTTACTTTGCAGTCTGCAGTGCAGGGAAGATTAACAAAGAATTGCTAATTAAGCAGTCGCTTGCAAAAACATGGGAGTTTGAAACATTGTGACTGATTGTTTTTATAAAGCCAGCCCAGGTCTAAACCAGCGGAAGATCCTTTTGGAGAGCTGGGAATTGCCTCTTAAACATGATGATTTCTTCTTTCTGTGCCTCTAAGATCACAACATCATGTTTTGCAACCACTGACTTGTGCACTATTTAACACAGGGCAAGCTTCTTACGCAATGTGCAAAGCAGAATGTACTCATTTGATCTTTATCTAACTAACCTACCACAGGAATTGGAACCAGGATTTAAAAAGATACACCTCCTTCCTCATGCTTACTGAAGAGCATTTGTTTCGTTTTAAAGCTGCAAGATGCTGGCTGCACACAACCAACCTGCACTTGTCTGGGATGAGAGATTATGCGATTCAGATGGAAGAGAAACAGCATAAAACACAAAGTTAAGAATGTTGAGAACACAATCCTTTTGCTACCCTCACTTTTGACAAATGACACTCAGACTGTGAGGCTTTAAACATAAAGAAATAAGTGAAGTCAGTGAGTCATCACAGCCTTGGAAGCAAGGAATAAGGCCTGTTATTCATGCTACCATCAGCAGTCAGTTTACAGGATAGAAAGAAGTGGAGCAGCATTAGTTATGCCCCAATTCCTCCAGTATTTACCTTAAATTTGCCTGGCCCCAGTCCAGTGTCAGAGGGCTTCTCCATAAATAATGATTTTGTCCTGACAGTGTTGGCTCTGTGCCCACCATACTCTCAACCTTCTCACCACTTCATTATTTTCAAGCCTATTTTTCTCATTGCTCAGAGGATTTTCCATTTCAAATATCAGGACTGAGAATGCAGATTCTCCTCCCTGTAACACAGCCAGAACTATAGGAAAAAAACAGAGCTTTGGAGCTACTCCCTTCTTCAAAACAAGCACCTCAGTGAAGGGCAGAGAAGCGCTGACAGCTTTGCCCATGCCAAGGATCTGCCATGGCTCTGGATGATCCCAGTTGACAGCTAGCTTAGGGAAGCAGCTGGACCACCCATGTCCTCAAAAGCAAGCTAAGCCTTGGGCTTTGCAGCCTGAAAAGCAGGAGCAAGCCCGCAGTGAAGGCAGAGACTCGGGCCTGGACAGGTCAAGATGAAAAATGCCCCAGGAACATCACCAAGTCTGAATGTCCGTGCCCAGAAGGAACTATCCGGACACTTGCAGCTACCTCAGGTACCCAAAGTCATGCAAGATGAAGGCTGTCACCTCTCCTGGTCCTCAGAGGGAGCCTGAGGAGGCTCCGCACCTCACTGTCACCCAATTAATCTCCATGATTTGCGGAGCTTCCATAGCTTCCTCCTAAAAGGTCCATGTAAGCCCAAATGTTAATCCTACCTACTAAGTTCACTTGCATACTCCACTGTCCCCACATCAGAGATGCAGGCTCCCTGTACAGCAAGCAGAGGGAGATACCACCTCTAGGAATGAGTGACTCTCTGGAAGCATCATTGTCTCCCTCTCAATGCAGAGAACATCTGGACTCCTGACTTGTTAAAGAAACCTGACAGTTAAAGAATCTCCAAGTGGGAATTCAGGGTCAAGAGGAGAAATTTTATCACCACTTTAAATTCCCAAACATCAGATACTGAAAATCTGGGGGGGAGGAACAGGAAACAAATAGAAAAACAAAAACCACACAAAAACCCCAACCAAACACAAAAGCCACACCAAGACCAAACACAAAGCTACAACACACCACCTTGCAGGACAAGCAAATTAGAAAACAAAAATCAGTCTACTCCCCAGCAATGCCCCAAACCTGCACACGAGCTGTGCCACAGGAGTTTGGTACATGTTGCAGATCACGACTGCAGCCAAGCACCAGCATGGGTCTGGCTTGGTTCCTGTACAAGTGACAGAAGCACACCAGCCTTCCCTAGAGCAGATCAGGCCATAACGCCAAGAGGGCTGAACCAAAGCTATGGACTGACCTCTTCCATGCACACTCTTAGAAACAAGGGGCAGCTTCTGTGACAACATGTGTTCAAGATCATGTCCTCAGTACGTGCATGTATGCCAGCAGTGGAATGAGAGGACAGCATGCACATCCAAAGTGAAACCTGCTCCAGGCACAGAGGGCTCTTCTTGAGGCTTCCCCCCTCCAAACAGGAGCATTCCTTATTTTCCCCTGTTTATTTAAAAAGCCCACCACACATTCCTGGGCACTGGCCTATCCCGAGTAAACCATGGGATGACAGCTTCTACACTGTAAATCCCAGATGAAAATTGGTCTAGCTTGGGAACTGCCAAACAATTGCTACCTTCTTCTGGTTGCTGAGTGGTCTGCAAAATGCACCACAAATCTCAAGACTTGTTTTCACATGGTTAAAGCACCTTCAGAATCAGCCTCCATGCATGGTTTCAGTGTAAAAACCAGAGAGCATGCCAGGGGCAGAGGGCCATGCTGAGCTGGTCCATCCATACCTGCCCAGAGAACATCAACTCCCATGCTCCAGCACTCCTCTCCAGCCACACCTCTCCTGCTTAAAACTGTTCCCTCAGGGTATGAAAACACTGTAGTGCCAACCCAACCAGAGACGCCCTGGTAGACTCATCGAGAAGGGGGCACCACCATTGTGCCTTGGGGCTCCAGCAAAGCTCCTAGAGAAAGAAGATTAGAGAAATGGAAGCCACAGCACGAGCATGTTTGACTCCGGGCAGCACCAGGGAAGAAGTCTGTTGTTAACTTTGATGTCTGCTCACTGTAAGGCAATCACTTTTTAACTTTACCAGAAAGAAGATCTGCAACACATTCCAAGCCTCTGAACTTGAAGCACAGCGGTGCTTGAGAGCAGAGTGTTAATTCCTCCACCATGAACAAGAGCAAAGAAGTTTACTGTGTAGGATAGGGCAACTGGACATAGCAGTTTAGGGATCACATGAAGATTTTATGAATTGGAAATCAAGCACTTAGGTACAGCTTTCCCAATTGCATTTGCTACTCCAGGCGGAGAAAACAACCAACCCTTTATCTCTGCAGCAGTGAACTTTCAGTCTCCCATGCTCATGTGAAAGAACTGCCTGGGAAACAAGCACACAACAATATTGCAGTCAGATTTTAAAACCAAACTCCAATTCAAGCAGAAAGCTGCAGGTTGCTTTTGCCCTTTTCACGAAGGAGCTAAATTGAGTGGCACAGAGCAGACAGAGCTGCCCAGCAGAGCCTCCCCCATATTTGTTATTTTTAGCAATTCAGTCTGACAACGCCTGACAACTAAACATGCTGAATATAGCAGGAGAGAAGGGGACTATCAGATAGTATCAGAGAAAACACACAGCGATAATCACTTTCTCCACCCCTAATGAAGAATCAGTTTTCCATGTCTTTATAACATCACAGAGCTTGTTCTTTTTAAAATGCCACATTTAAAAACAGAATCCATCGAGCCCTACAATGGAAACGGATAACATTTCCTGAAACAAAGCATTGTTCCACCCCTCACATATCATGTTTCCTTAAAAACAAGGGAAGAAAAACATTACTTGGTTTTTCTCCTAATACTGCACAAACATTGCCGAGCTAAAAAGAGTCTGTGCTCATCCCTTTAGAATGCTTTCAAAATAGCTTTAACACATACCCCTTGCACTGTGAAGCACAACAAGAATTTGATAGTATCAGGACTGGAAAAATTGGATCGTTGCTGCTAAGCAGGATGCTTCCCATGCCAGTGAGTGAGTGAGCCCGTGCACCAGCTTCTGTGAGAGTCAAGCCTCACTGGCACAGCCTTTATGCAGGCATGTGCATTTTGCCAGCAAGCCTGGGTTATCAATTTGGATTCCAAAGGATTATATAGAAATTGTGAAATTAAGAATGCTACATATGTACACACATATATATATATACACACACATACACACACACTCACATATACACACTTTCATTGGTTAGCTTTAACAAGAAGGGTAAAGCTACCTTGCTCCTTCTGCAGTGACTGACATTTGCCCTCTCATACACATTGATATCCCTTTGGTATCTTCAGAAGACAGTTCCTCTCACTAAGTACATCCGATGTGCATTGCAGCCAAAGCTTACTTTCCCAAAGACAGGTCTAGTTCTCCTTGTACAAAGAGAGGTCTAGTTCTCCTTGCAGCTTTGCCATGTGATGAACAGCAGGGAAATATCACACCAGCTTTGTGATGCTGTCTTGAAAAAGACAATGCATCACTTCACAAGTGGAGGAACCCAAGACAGGGGAGTAAAGAAAAGGGAATAACTAATCATGAATTGCAGTTCCTCTAGGAAATGAGATGATGAAGGAGAAAAGAAGTTTTCAAACCAAATGCAAAACCCCTCATTGCTTTCGCAGTTCACTCTGAGAGCTGCGAATGTCAGGAAACACAGCTCACACAGAGTCACAGAATGGCTTGGGTTGGAAGGGACCTTAAAGCTCATCCATTTCCACCTCCCTGCCACGGGCAGGAACACCTTCCACTAGAGCAAGTGCTCCAAGCTCTGTCCAACCTGGCCTTGAGCACTGCCAGGGGTGGGGTAGTCACAACTTCCTTGGGCAACCTGTTCCAGTGCCTCACCATCCTCAAAGGAACAAACTTCTTCCTTACATCTAACCTGAACTTCCCCTGTTTCAGTTTTAACCCATTCCCCCTTGTCCCATCTCTACAGTCCCTGATGAAGAGTCCCTCTCTGACATGCTTGTATGACCCTTTCAGATACTGGAAGGCTGCTATGGGGTCTTCACACAGCCTTCTCTTCTCCAGGCTGAACAGCCCAAACACCTCTGAGGCAGGTTAAAGCCCATGTTTTCATGGACATGTCAGCACTGAGGGTCTCTCCTTGCTACACAGTTGGATGGATTTACATAAGACCTCAGCAGTGAACTCAACCCTCCAGGCTCTGCTCCTCTGCATACAGCACTAAAAGCCAGCAGGGAGAGCGCATCTCAAATTCAGGCTGGTATCAAAAATCCACATTTCATAATACCTTGGCAATTGAGTCATAATAAGAAGGCAGAATTGTCTCAGGCTCGTGGTACATGAGTAACCAGATCAGCCACACCATGTGGATACCGGAGGATTACTCTGACCAGCTTGAGCCAGCTATGCAAAGTGAGAAATGTGAGTAAGGTAGTTAACAATGTAAAATATAAACCTAAGCTTTAAAATCCTTCCAGTTTTAATAATGGATGGAGGGAAGTTTTAACCTATCTTGGTTTGATATTTATTTTATAGTGATGCAGTGGAATCACAAGGTCACAAAGTTTCACATTCTTTCCTGGTTCTGTCACCACTTGTTTTCAGGACAGAAAAATCCCCTACCTCCTGTGATAAGTGCTCTCTGACTTGGACTCAGGTATTTCCCCTGAAATCTCTGTTTCCAGCAGTTGTCAGTCTAAAAGCTTTGTCCTTTTCCATGGGGAATCCCAGGCCTAAGGAAAATCCTTTCCACAAAGCTGCCAGCCAGCTGGAAGCAGAGTAGTTAAAAGATGGACTTGAATGTTCACTTAAACTATTGAAAGTTTTGGCCATTTGAGCCCTACTATAATATATATCGTTAAAAAGAAAAACCAATCCATGTGGCAGTCACTTTTCTACTCACACCACCTTTTGAGACAGTCGTCATTGCTGGGAGCTTCAATTCAGTGGCCATACCAGAGACTCAAGCAACAGGGAGCTATGAAGCAGAAAAACACACTTGTGAAGCAGCCAGCTCCGAGGCTTTGTGTAAGAACAGCAAAGGTTGTAATTTGGGGGGAATTCCATCCATTCTGCTGAACTCAGCAATCGGAAAGTTCAGAAGGTGAGATCATTCCCCACCAGGAACAAGAAGAAAATGAGGTCCACAGCTGAAGGGCACAGTAGCCAAAAAGCTGACCACAGCCTGATGGACCTGGAAGAAAGGGACCCCATGGGCAGGTTGCAAACAGAGACTGTCAACCACACTCCAATCACTGACAAATGCAGACCTGCTGCTACGAAGTTCTCCAACCCCAGTCATGGGGCTGCCTTAGTGCAAAACCACTGGCATCTGAGATGGCTTCAGAGTAGCCAGGATACAATCACTTTGATCACATAACCGTAAAAATGACTATGCCCTGTCTGCATTAACAGCAGAGAAATATGCAGCCTACCCAGGGGAGACTTGTTTTCCCCATTCAGTAAAAGTTCTCATGGCCAGAAACACAAAACCCCTTAGTATCTGGCACAGGAAACACTCCAGGCAACACCACACATGGTGATATATTTGTCCTACAGCTCCCCAGGCAAGCTGAGTTTTAAGAAAGAATAAAAAAAAAAAAAACAAACTCTACTTCTGTTTACTGTAAGGAGCAGACAAGAGAGACAGAACTGAATGGGTTTGAGTAGGTTTGAGCACCGACTTCCTACTCCTGCTTGTCCCTACTTAACCTGGTCTGCACACTGACTTTCTCCAAAACACTAACAGACGAGTTAAGCAGCTTGACACAACTCAATCTTTGCTTCCTCTGTCATTGCCCAAGAAACAAGGAACAGGGGTTTGAATTTATTATATCTTAGGGACATTAAGAAATAACAAACCACTAATGGCCTTGGAAAAGTACATTTTGAACATCTGCTCCGAAGAACTCTAAGCTGTACATGTAGCCACTAGAAGATAGTCAAGATTCTCTAGATAATTCATTTGAACACTGATATGTGCACAGAAAGTACTTTATATTTCCTACATATTCTTCTCTGCCTTGAATACTCCAACCAGATAAATGTAAGAGCACAGAAGTGCTCTGACCACATTGCCAAAACAAAGTCCTACCTCCCCCTAGATCCAGTCTTCAAAAGCAGCCACAAGTAGAAGCCTAGGGCAGAGTGTATGGACATGGCAGGCGTACACAGAACTTCCTCCTCATACTTTCCCAGCCTTCAGACATTTTTAGCTCAGGACTTCCTGAGCAGAATGCCATTTCTACATATTTGGTAATTCTCAATGGATTTCTCTTCCATGAATTTGTGCAATTGTCCTGAGCCAGTATAAACTCCTAGCATCCACAGCACTGGCACAGTTCCACATCACCTATCTGCTGCAAATAACCACACAAACATCCTTTTGCTAGTTTTAAATCTTGCTCCTACTAACCTCATTTGAATCCCTCACCCCCACTTTGCATATCAGGAATGACAGGAAATCCCTAGCTAGGTTGCAGACCCACAAAAGAAACCAAGTAACTAAGTGCCATGAATTACTTGTAGGTTACTTGTACCAGGCACTATGTTTCACCTCCTTAAAATCCTTCAGAATGGAAAGTATCAGATAAAAACAAGGGATGTAGCAGACAGCATCTTGTTGACCTTCAGTATTGTACTTTCATCATTATTACCTGCCAAAACTTACCTCCAATTCCTTAATTTTCTCTTCAGCTATTCTCTGTTTTTCTAAGAGCTGATTATGAATCACTCCTTTAGACTGAAGGATAAACCTACAAGTGAAAGAGACAGACAACTGTTGGGTATCTTTTACATCCATTGCACACCTACTTGCATGCAGAGTTAAACTACAGTGACCTCTGCCAAGTATTCATTCTCAATCCACACCTTCTAGACAGAGGTAGAAGAAATTGCTCCTAGAGCTCACACAAACCACCAGCCTCAAAGGCTTGCTCAGCAGTCTCACCTATTATTTGGGAGGAAGAAAATGGATGCACACTCATCTCCCTCTATCATTCAGTGTCCTTGAATGCTTTGAAAACAGTCCTTGCATACAGCTAGCAAAGGGAGTCTGTCATCGCATTCCCTACAAAGGGATATAAAGCAGTTTATGGCATATAGCCAAGGAAGCTTCTTTCAAGGGGAAAAAGCCATTCATTACCATTTCAGTGCTCACAAGCAAAATAAAGCTGCACAATAAAAACAAAGCTTTCTACAGAGGAAGGTTGAGAGAGCTGGGGGTGTTCAGCACAGGGAAGGGAAGGCTGCAGAGAAACCTTACAGAGGCATTTCAGTACATAAATAGGGCTGGTAAGACAGAGACTTTACCAGGGCCAGTAAGTGACAGGACAAGGGGCAATGGCTTTAAACTGCAGGAGGGCAGCGCTTGATTTGACACAGGGAAGAAATGTTGTACAATGAGGGTGCTGAGGTGCTGGCAGAGGGTTCCCAGAGAAGCTGTGGCTGCCCCATCCCTGGCAGTGTTCAAGGCCAGGCTGGATGGGGCTTGGAGCAAGCTGCTCTAGTGGAAGGTGTCCCTGCCTGTGGCAGGGGGTTGGAACGAGATGAACTTGAAAAGGCCCTGAAGGAACACGAGCACCCAAAGAGGCCCTCCAGTATGTGGCACTGGCATCCCACAAAGAGGTAAAGGACAACTAAGTTCAGATGAATTTTAGGAACTCTCTATGGTTGTTTTTCAACCTTCCAGACATAAAGAATGTACAAGCCACAGATTTGCCCCTTCCCTACTTAGAAAGTCCCCCAGGGGATTTAGAAGGAGCCTCCCTGGATCATACCAATGAGGTCAAGGTCTCCCTTCAGCACCAACTAGGGTCAGTGTCTTCCTACCAGGTGACAAGAGCTTGTGCTTGAACAGTTAAAGTGAGCAGCTTTAGACAGGGCAGAATCAGAATGCATTCCCCATCTGGTACAGAAAAACCTGCAGTCAGTCTGTAGTGCCGCCTCCCATGACACAGGACATTATTAACATGCTTGTTCAGGGCCTGATCAGCCACTGCCTTGAAACCCAGCATGGTCTGCACCAGCAATAGAGCAGCCAAAAGGAAAAGTACCTGCTACGTGCATTCCTGGAGTGCATGGGAGCAGAACTGTGGTTAATTATAACAGGTTTGCAATTAAAACTCTCTTTGGTGCTGCGATTAACTGCGCTTACCAACTGCCTCCTCCTCCTTCTCCCACTTCTCTCCCTTGTCCTGCTTTACCTCCTCTTTTCTACAGCTACTTCATCTTTTATATTGCCATTTTCTCAAATTTCTCCTTGTTTCTCCCCAGTCTCAGCTCATGTTTATTACTGGTGTCATCACTGCTATGTATCTGCTCCTATTCTTTACAACACAGCTCACTCTCTTTGGCCCCTCACTCTCCCACTTTCCATTTGGTACCTCCACAACCCACTTCCACTCAGTGGGAATGTTTCCAGGTCTGAAACAGAGCAACCTGCTGAAATAAAATGTGGGGTTTGCTCAGTCTTGTTAAAAATCAAGTCCATGAGCACCTTCCTAGGAAAGAGAAGTTATTTACATTGCTATTAGATGCAGAGCCTGAATTCAGCCAGAGAGGAGCTACTTTTGAGGACCACCAGCAACCACATCATTCTGATGCTCTTACCTTGAGCCTGCAATAGCAGAAGCAGCAAACCCCAGCCTTCCCACACACACAACATGGGGATTTGGGTGTGAAGACCACAACTTTGCCTTACTTCTGCAGTGGCTGTCACTAGTTAAACAATCAGAGCTGCAAGATGCCCTCATTAAATAAACCCAACCGTCCTTCCCATGGTCACAGCTTCCCTGAGCCTGTGTGGTGTATGAATGTTTCCTCAATTATTTCCTTTTTTTTTTTGTGAGGCAGCAAAGGAGAACAGAATACCTTCTCTTTTGCTTCCCCTGTATGTTAAGGTGTAGAATTCCAGACTGGTTTGGGTTGGAAGGGACCTTAAAGTTCATCTTAGGTTTGGAAACCCTGCCACAGGCAGCATGCCTTCCACTAGAGCAGGTTGCTCCAAGCCCCGTCCAACCTGGTCTTGAACACTGCCAAGGATGGGGCAGCCCCAGCTTTTCTGGGCAACCTTTGCTAGGGCATCATTGTCCTCATAGTAAAGAATTTCTTCCTAATGCCTCATCTGAATCTATCCTTGATCAATCATTTTGGTTTCACTGAAGCCCCTGGTCTAGGACACAAGGTTAAACACCAACACAGCTCTACCAGTGCTCCCCATGCTGCAGCTGGGAAGGCCCCTGTGCTGCGTCACAGGCACTGAGCGATCCTGGGTGGCTGAGATCCGCTACAGGCACTAGAACCTTTGGACAAACAAGTGGCTGACTTCACTTCTATTCTGCAAATGTCAACAAGAGTCACCGGGAAAAACACCCTCCCTCCTCCCTGCCTCCCACCCTCCTGCAATGCTCTGGCAGACATGCGACAGCAAATTAAAATTGGATGGCCGAAGTTAGCAATGACGAGACTTGTGCCGGCAGCTGGGCACAAACACAACCACCCCAATTTATTTGCTATAAAATAGTGGGCTGGAACCTGTGTCCGTTCACACGCTGGCTCAGAGCAGATCAAATGTCCATGACTTGGCCAGCATCCTTCAGAACGTTTGCACCAATCCCAGCTTCAAGCCACCCATTTTAATTCCCCTTCATTGACCCTTCAGCCTAAAGCGCACAAGTGCTACCATGTAAGTTGACAAAAACTACTCTTTAGAAAGTTGAAGCTATAAACCCACACCTGATTTAAATCTGTGGCTTCAATTTCCAACACAAGAAGGACTCAAAAACCTCATCTTTGTTTTAGCTTCTAGCTTGGGATACACACATCATGGAGATCTTGGGCAAAGGTTTTACCTAAGGAAATACTGTGGTTTACAGCAGCACTTGTCTTGCTCATTAGCCAAGAGATGCTACAGGGCACTTCTCATAAACCAGAGTTTGAATTTTACTGGATTTCATTCTTCCAATTACCCCAAGTAAAACACCAACTAAATGGTTTTGGCTTTTTTCTCACTGAGCTGGAGAACTGGGACAGTGTCATTCTGCTGCCTGGTTTTAGTTAACTGGGGTTATCTTACAATGTTTTTAAGCTTGTGAAAGAACCATGGGAGGTTCTGAGGTCCTAGTTCTTCCCTGAGTTTGTAAACAAGCCTTTCAAACACATGAACTTCATTCATGGATGACAAGTTGACTATGAACCAGCAGTTGTGCACCTGGAGCCAGGAGGACCGATAGTATCCTGGGGTGCACCAGGAGGAGTGTGGCAGCAGGTCAAGGGAGGTGATTCTCCCCCTCTACTCAACCCTGGTAAGGCCACATGTGGAGCACTGTGTCCAGTTCTGCGCTCCTCAGTAAAAGAAAGACAAGGAGCTACAGGAGAGGAATCAGCCAGGACCACAAGAATGATCAGGGGTCTGACGCATCTCTCTTACGAGGAGAGATTGCAGGAGCTGGGCCTGTTTAGAGAAGAGGAGACTGAGAGGGGATTTCATCAGTATAGATCAGTATCTCAAAGGCAGGTGCCAGAAGGATGGTGCCAGACTTTTCAGTGGTGCCCAGAGACAGGATGAGTAGCAACGTCCATAACTGAAAGACAAGAAGTTTCACCTTAACATGAGGAAGAACTTCTTTACATTGAAGGTGACACAGCACTGGAACAGGCTGCCCAGGGGGCTGTGAAGTCTCCCTCTCTGGAGACTCCAAATCCATCTGTGTTACCTGCTCTAGGTGGCCCTGCCTTGGCAGGGGGTTGGACTGGATGATCGCCAGAGGTCCCTTCCAAATCCAATGATTCTGTGGTTCATTCACTGTCTGGAGGCACACCACCAGCTGAGGACAAGCCCCACGTTAGAGTCATCGCATCAGAGGAGAGGAGACACTTTCTGCTCTGTGATGCTGAGCCCAACAGATGACATTACTAACGCCAACCCCTTGGTGCGGATCAGCACCAAAGAGCCACCTCCAGAGTTCACTCTGCCGAGGAGGGTCCCAGTGTTTGTACATTGGACTAGGATGACTTTTAAGTACTGGCAGTCCCCAGAAGACAAGCAGCAAACCAAATCCTCTTCCAGACAAGCGAGTTCACTTGTGTCCACCTCCTCTCCATGAAGCAGCACAGCATGCACTAATAAATCTGTCAAACACAACACCTACACTATCAACCATGAAACACTGATTCAGAAACATGTTCAGCATTACAGTGGCAATTACAAAGCTTAGCAGAAATCACCTCCTCATACAGGAACTTTTTCACTATTGTTAAACAACACCAGAAATACCTGGTCAGAACAGACAGGTTCACCACATCTCAGTTGGCCACCTACTTCAAAGGGAATGGCTAATGAAAACAGATCAGGATTTGCCCTATTCTGGATACTGAGCAATTTTTCCACTAACCATAAAGATAACTTGGAAACAAGACAAAACAAATAGAAAAGAAAGCTAAGGAGGAATGGGGTCCTCAAGGACAGCAATATTCAGCCAAATCTGGACTGCCAACAGCAGCAGCATTTGCAGATCAGTTCTACCTACATGCTCGGCTCTCCTGCTGTCCCAGTGACTGCTGGTTCTCAAGGACAATACAAGGAACAAAAATAGAGCAAGAGGGAACTGAAAGAGAAACCTCACTCTAAATATTCCCCACTTGTTTCTATTTTCCTCCCTCTGCCAGTTCTACATCAGGATCTTTGTTTCTCTAAGGCAGAGAACGTGGTTTCTATACTCTCTGAGACTCACTGCTTGTTCCCTTCTGAAGGGAT